GCCCACAGGCGGCCCAATCTCGCAAGGGTCAGTATAGACTTTATACAGTATAAATTTATATTATATTAATTGTATATTATAGTAAAAATATGTCATAAAATATAAATTTTAAAATGAAATTGACTTGCCTATTTGATAGTGTGTGTTCTCCTTGTATTCCTCCTTTGTTGGACTAATATTTTCCGAGACCTTGTACTCGATGTTACTCGTATACATGAAACATGATAAAGGCTAACGATTCCCGATCGTCGATACGACGGCACGGCACTTCGAATCGAAAATTTTCACACTCAAATCGCTTTATTCTCCAAACAAATTCGCCAGCATGTACAACAAATGTCGTTCTTCGAAAATACAGAGGTACTTCGGCGAGATGTACAAGTTTTGGACCATATTTTAACAATGGAAATCAAAACCCATTTTATATTGAACTTACCCGGACCGAAAATTACTACGGCGAACGTCTGCGCAACCAGGCCTCCTTTACCGTTGGATTTACAGGGGGGGAAGCAGATATTTCCGGTAACAGCCAGCCAATCGCGGCCGCGTAGGGACTGTTTACATTATTTGAAATTTGATATTCAAAATAAAAACTCCTTCGATCGGATACTGTATAAAACTCGAGATGTTGTCGAAGAAAAGAAAATTAAACGACGGAGATTGAAGAAATTTAAGGAAGAAGTAATATACAGCGGCTCTTTGTTGGAAAGTATGGTAGAATATGATACTTTAATTTGAAATATTATCGTGAATATATTAGTGGCAACCTCCCCCCTGTAAATCCAACGGTAAAGGAAGCCTGGTTGCGCAAACGTTCGTCGTAGTAATTTTCGGTCCGGGTAAGTTCAGTATAAAATGGGTTTTGATTTCCATTGTTAAAATATGGTCCAAAACTTGTACATCTCGCCGAAGTATCTCCGTATTTTCGAAGAACGGCATCTGTTGTACATGCTGGCGAATTTTTTTGAGAATAAAGCGATTTGAGTGTGAGAATTTTCGATTCGAAGTGCCGTGCGGTCGTATCGACGATCGGGAATCGTTAGCCTTTATCATGTTTCATGTATACTAGTAACATGGAGTACAAGTCTCGGAAAATATTAGTCCAACAAAGGAGGAATAAAAGGAGAACACACACTATCAAATAGGCAAGTAAATTTCATTTTAAAATTTATATTTTACGACGTATTTTTACTATAATATACAATAAATATAATATAATATAAATTTATACTGTATAAAGTCTATACTGACCCTTGCGAGATTGGGCCGCCTGTGGTAAATTCATACTCTAAATCGTCAAGCGTGTGGTAGTATCAGATAAGCAATTTTGACACATGTCAATAGTGTTATTTGTATTGGAGTCAAATGACTTTGCGCAAGCAGACACAGCGTGAAACAATTTTTCACATGTGAGACATTGACATTTGACATTCAATATATTTTTGTGTTTCTTGAATTATTTTGAAGCAGGAATAGCATTTTTTCTTGTGCTTATTTTTACGAGTAGCCATTTAGAAAGTAGTTTTGTCCAATTTTAAATTAGATTTTCAAAACACACCGCAATATACATGACATAGTATTAAGTGAGTGTTTCAGTGTATTAACGTGTTTAGTATTATTAAAAACTTGCCCTTCAATAATCAATTTATCCTTAACAATTCTTGATTGTTTTCCCGCAGCTCTTGCCTTCTTCAATTCAGGGAAGCAGCTCTTGCCTTCTCTCTTACGGCCAATTCGATGAGATCGGTCAATCATGACATGCTTACGTGCGTCTTCGATTTGAACGATTTCTATCTTTTGCTCTAAGAGATCATGTATAATTTCCGTTGTATTCTCCTTCTCGTGTTCGGGTATGTTGAAGAACAACAGGTTGTCGCGCATAGACCTCGCTTGTTAAGTAAATTATCTTGTTGCGCATAGACTGTATATTAGCATTATCGCATGTCAATAGCAATATAATTTCGTTTTGGAAAGTGATTTTGTATAGATTTTATTGATATTGTATCGATTTAACTCATAAAATATGCTTCGCAAGTCAACTGTTATATTTATATCATGATTTTCGCGGATATTATATATTTAACTCATGAATTTATTCATCGCACCTTGAAACTACACACTTAACTTGTCGGTGATACTGATATCATGTGTCAATACAATAGCAATATATAATTTCGTTTTGAGAAGTGATTTTGTATCGATTTAATTGATATTGTATCGATTTAACTTCGCAACTCAGTTGTTATATTTACAAACAGGCAATTGCCGCGGATATTATATATTTAACTCATGAATTTATTCATCGCACTGGATCTTTCTCGAGTCTCGAAGCAAGATTCAAACGGAAGTAAGAAAGGCCTCTAAAGTGATTCTGTGATTCGTCGACCACCACGACCACCAATTAACATGCTCTAGCCAATGGCGTTAGACCTTGCAAACGGTGCGACCTAACAGGAACTGTTCGACAATTTGTCCGTCTGTGAAGACGATTTTTGAGAGACGATCCGTTCCCCCAGACGACCCGTCCGCCTCTAATGTGAATAGGGCTATTTACTTAGTTCTATGACATGGACAGTCACGCACTAATGACCATGTACATGGCATTTCTATGTCGAACATTGTTCCGAGCAAGTGTTCATATGTGCTTCTAATGTTTCTTTTAAACGAGGATTTCTTTTATAATGAGTAAATACGGTCGATGTACGTTATAATTATACGATATAAACAGTAATATTTCATACCTGAGATCAATTTATAAGCCTTCGGCAGGATTCGGAGTCACTTATCCAGAACCAAATATGATAAAAAACACGATATTCTTGAGCGAAATATGCTCAAACGAAAAGTCGAAAATTTGTAAATCACACTTGATACTTGATATACGATATCCCACAACTCATTGCGCGCGTGGCCCTTGTCTTCTAAAATACATACACCAAAAGGCGCTCCCAATCTATCGCTAGCTTGAAACTGTAGGAAGCATTTATAATCTGGCCAAAAAAATGATTATAAAAAAATGATGAAAATTCTTATAAGCGAATAATGAGATATATTTTCTAAAAAAATTATATGCCAATTGCAATAATATAAAATTTTTATCGTTTAACGTATCGCATGTCATAACATTTGACAGCATTAACCGTGATGTCATAACATGTCGGTGATATTTACGCAAAATCTTGGGTAAATTTACACTTCATTTTTTGCGGTGGATCATACCATCTTCATTAAAGCGTAGATAGACGATTGTTGCAAATGATTTGAATTCATATATAATTGTTACTTTTCAATAGCAGCAATTCATTGGGCATATTCAAATTCATTGTGATATCCGCCATGTTGAAACTGCGACAATTCAGGACAGAGCCGTTCAGCTTCAAATTTGACAAAAAAGTGAAAGATATACAATATTACAATTAGGTTTATTCAATTCAATATCATATCTCGTTTTAGCCATGCAAAAGTTGCCAAAAGAAAGGTTTTGATATATGCGATAAATAATATTAAACTTTATTTCAAGATTGTTTTTCTAATTATAAGAATATTATTCTAGGATGGAAAAATGTTATTCTTAAAATAAGAAAAAAATTCTCTCGAATATTCTTGCCCAGTTATATTTTCTTATTTTAAGATTTTTGTTCTTGAAACTAGATTTTTTTTCTTGAAATATTTCTTGATAAGAAATATTTACTTAAAATAAGAAAAATAATCTAAAAAATAAGAATATTATTCTAGACTAGAATTTGATTTTTTGCAGTGCAACAGAAACAACGGCATCAACATCAAAGTCGAATGCTTATACAGAGCATATTCAACGGCATAAACATCTAAGTTTAATTTTTATGCCGAATTTGTTGAATGGTTAATTATTGGTTATGCGGTTGATTGTCATCGGCATAACCTTTCAACAGAATCAACGGCATAAACATCTAAGTTGAATGTTTATGCCGAACATATTTAACGGCATAAACATCTAAGTTGAATGTTTATGCCGAATATATTCAACGGCATAAACATTTATGTTGAATGTTAATGCCGAACATAAGTTGAATCGTTATGTCGAAGACAATCAACGGCATAACCATCCAAGTTGAATGGCATGATCATCTAAGTTGAATGTTTACGCCGAACATAAGTTGAATCGTTATGCCGTTGACTGATTTCGGAAAAACATTCAACAGAATCAACGGCATAATCATCTAAGTCGAATGTTTATACCGAACATATTCAACAGCATAAACATCTAGTAAGTTGAATGTTTATGCCGAACATAAGTTAAATGGTTATGCCGTTGGCCGTCTTCGGCATAACCATTCAACACAATCAACGGCATAAACATCTAAGTTGAATGTTTATGCCTAACATACAGGGGCGTAGGAAGCGGGGGGCACGGGGGGCACGTTCCCCCCCAATTTTTTTTAAAGGACTAAAAGTGCCCTTTTTTGTGATAAAAAGTGCCCTTTTTGTGTTGAAAAGTGCCCTTTTTTGTGAGGAAAAGTGCCCCTTTTGTAGAAGCTAATGTCGCTGTAAATACTAAATTAAAACAATAGGTGCCGTTTTTGTGTGGAAATTTACAAATTTTTTTTAAAAATTAGGTCACAAACATAAATTTCGGTATGATACGACGGAAAATTTTCCTCAGGAGAAATTTCTCCCCTCCCCCCCCCGTCGACAACATTTCCGGGAAAAATTTTTTCGGTGCCCTTTCCGATAGTAATGTGCCCCTACAAGCCGGTGCCCCCCCAAACTCCAGGTGCTTCCTACGCCCCTGCTAACATATTCAACGGCATATATAACATCTAAGATAAATGTTTATTCCGAACATAACTTGAGTGGTTATGGCGAAGATAGTCAATTTTATAACAATCCAATGGTGAATGGTAATGCCGAAGATATAGTCAAAAGAATAACCATCCAAGTTGAATGGCATAAACACCTAAATGTTTATGCCGAACATAAGTTGAATGGTTATGGTGTTGACTGTCTTCGGCATAAGCATTCAACAAAATCAACGGCATAAACCTCTAAGTTGAATGTTTATGCCGAAAATATTCAACGACACAAACATCTAAGTTGAATGTTTATGCCGAACATAAGTTGAATAGTTATGCCGACGACACTCAACGGCATAACCATCCAATGGTGAATGGTTATGCCGAACATAAACTGAACGGTTAAGCTGTTGACTGTCTTCGGCATAACCATTCAGCAGAATTAACGGACAAACATCTAAGTCGAATGTTTATACCGAACATATTCAACGGCATAAACATTTAAGTTGAATGTTTATGCCGAACATAAGTTGGATGGTTATGCCGTTGACTGTCCTCGGCATAACCATTCAACAGAGTCAATGACATGCATAAACATCTATGCTGAATGTTTATGCCGAACATATTCAACGGCATAAACATTTAAGTTCAATATTTATGCCGAGCATAAATTGAATGGTTATGCCGAAGGCAGTCAAGGGCATAACTATCCAATGGTTAATGGTTATGCCGAAGACGATCAACGACATAACCATCCCTTTGGCTTTTAATTGTACAAAGTTCTCCTTCAGTAGCATTATATGAATGTTGTTGGTTCAAGTGAGGCCAAAAGCTACTGTTAAAAGTAAAGTAAAGTTAGGCGGAAATTTTATTTTAAAACTATAAAAATATAAAAAGTTTAAAAAGTTTAAAAAAATCTTAGCTTTCGTCGTCTACGACATCATCAAAGACAAACAACCTACTGTGTCCTGAATTAGAATTGTAAAGTATGTACAACTGAGAGTTGATGACTAATACAATACAATACAATACAATACAATACAATACAATACAATACAATACAATACAATACAATACAATACAATACAATACAATACAATGCAATACAATACAATAATACAATACAATACAATACAATACATTTATTTGTACTCGAAACATTACACTATAACAACACACTATACAGAAATAATTACAATTGATGAATACAGGCCACCTGAAATAACCATAGGGGCTATACGAGTCAGGTGACCTTTATTAGACAAAATATAAGTAAATGGGTTTGGTAAAGATTATGCAATATTTTTATAGGAAAACGAACAAGAAACAAAACACCAACAAATAGCAAACAAATAGAAAAATATATATATAGGAAAAAGAGCCAAAATATCTTCATCATTTTAAATTTTTGGATTAATAAGAAGCAATTATATGTTATTTAAATTTTCTTTTAAAGGTTTTTAGACGCAGAGACTTCAAAGATTCATCGACAGAGCTCCAAACTTTAGGTCCACAAAATCTAATATTAAATATTCCGTAATTTGTACGAACTGGTGGGATAGCATATGCATTTGTAAACGCTAAACGGGTTGTATAGTCATGGTTGTTTTTAATCAAGGTTAAAAAGCCACAAAAATCAGCCGGAAGATTACTCGAACCATACTGAAACATGAATGATGCTGTATTGACATAAACTAGATCCAGAAATTTTAGCAAGTTTAATGCCTTAAATATTGGTGAAGTGTGCTCACGGAAACCGGAAAATGTGATCCTCATAGCCTTCTTTTGCAGGATCAATAATGGGTGCAAATTACTTTTGTATGTATGTCCCCATACCAGGACAGCGTACATAAGAAATGGGTAGATTGTGTGCTTATTAGTAAGCTTATCGATATCGGAGTAAGGCGCTCTCTGATCCCATGGATTATAAGTTTTCTATCTAACCGTAGACAGCGTGTTAGTAGACGACAGTGTGGCGGTTACAGCCGGTGTACCACAAGGTACAAAATTGGGACCAATCTTATTTTTGATTATGATCAACGATCTAAAGATCCCATCCCCAGGGAATACTGGTACTTGGAAATTCATGGATGTTGTATCCATTTCAGAGTCCTTGTCAAGAAACTGTGAATCCCGTATGCAGAATCACCTTGATGAGATCAACACATGGGCTGACAACAACCTAATGAAGCTAAATCCAAAGAAATACAAAGAGATGCACGTCTGTTTCCTTAAAGAGCGACCCATTTTAGAACGTCTCAATTTGGGGGGACACCCCCTGGAAATCGTTTCCCATCATAAGGTTCTTGGTTTGGTTATACAGGATAATCTTAAATGGAATGGGCATATTTCCATGATTGTTAAAAAGGCCTCCAAGCGTTTTCATATTCTTAGAGTTCTTAAACGGGGAGGAATCCCACCTCACGATCGAACTGATCCTTATTTACTATGCTCGCATTCGCTCCTTACTAGAGTACTGCTACATTGTATGGGATAACAATCTACCAGCTTATCTGGCGGACTCAATTGAACGAGTTCAGAAAAGAGCACTGAATATAATCCTCCCTGGCAGGTCTTACCGTGAAGCTTTGAGTCAGCTCCATTGTTCTCGCCTAGATGAGAGACGCGATGCTTTGTGTGAAAGAACGATTAAAAAGATAACTGATGGCAACCGCCTGTTTTATCTCTTACCTCAGACTAGAGAAAACGTGAACTGCGATTTACGTAACGCTAACAATTGGTCATTGTTCAAATGTAGAACTGATCGTTTTCAGAAAAGTTTTTTTCCCAAGTATAATTTGAGTTTTAAATATGTCATCATGACACTAGTTTTTGAATATCTAAACTATTACAATATATACTTTCCTCACACCTAAATTTTTAAATTGTAATATAGTATTAGACTTATTGTATCTGTATTAACTTAGTTATGTAATTATTGTAAGCACATTGTAATTCAATTTTTTGTGATAGTGTGCCATTAAAACACGCATATATAAAAAAAAATAAACTTGAATGAGTGTATCAATTGAAACAAAATCACGAAGTTTAAATAATATGCCATTACCTTTGGATATTTTTTGCATAACTCAAAAACATGATCCTTCCAGTTCGAATTACAATCTATAATTACGCCAAGATATTTGACACTTTTTTTCTCCTTCATTTTGTTGTTATGAATTTTCAAATTCATTGAGTAATTAACTTACTTTTGTGGTGAATGAAAAAGGACAAAGTTTGATTTTTCAATATTTATTGACATTTTATTAGCATATAACCACTTGCCAACCAAAATTAACTGCTCATTTAGTATTCTCTTTAAATTTTGAAGATTATTATCAGAGTAAAATATGCTTGAATCATCTGCAAATAAATGAAACTTAAGTTTTGGAGCAGAGTTGTTAAAATCATTAATATATAACAAAAATAATAAAGGGTCTAAAACTCAACCTTGTGGAACACCGCAGGTTATAGGCTTTTGCTCAGGTATTACATTGCCAATCGAGACATACTGCTTTCTGTTGCAAAGATAAGATGAAAACCATTTTTGTACTATTCCTCGTATTCGACTGTTTTCAAGTTTTTTGAGTAATATTGTATGATTTACAGTATCGAAAGCTTTACTCAAATCAGGAAAGGTACCACATGAATACATTTTGTTTTCTACTGCTTCTTGAATTTTAGCTGCAATAAGTAAGATGGCATGTGTTGTAAAGTGGTTTGAACGGAAACCAAATTGGCCTTGAAAAATTACTTGGTTCTTTTCCAGAAAAATTACAAGTCTCTTATACATTAATTTTTCTAAAATTTTGTTAAAAACTGGGAGTAATGAAATAGGTCGATAATTTGATACAACCGTCTTAGAACCTTTCTTATAGATTAGTATCACTCTATAGCTAATTTAAATTGATCAGGCACAACACCTGTTAGAACTGAGCAATTAAAGAGATAAGCAAGTGGGCAGATAAGAGAAATCTCAATTTTTTTAACAATTCAGTAAGGATGCTAAATGGCCCAACAGACTTAGATGGATTAAGATTACTAATTTCCTCTTCGACTTCCAAAATGCTTACAGGAGAAAGAAAAAGCTATGACATAATGATTTGTTAAGAAATTTCTCAAATGAAATATCTAGATCTATTATGGGTATAGTATTAGCTATATTTGAACCAATATTAGAAAAATAGTTGTTAAAGGCATTAGCAATTGATTTTGGGTTAGTCAGTTTTAAATTTTCTACTTCCAATAAATTTCGAACTAAATAAGGCAGATGTTTTAGTGTTATCAGCTGTTTAATTAATACCTTTCCATGTATTTTTTATATTATATTTATTATTTGCAAAATATTTATTATAATAGGATTTTTTGCTAACCAGTATAAGATGTTTTAATTTATTTCTATAAGTTTTGAACTTAGAAAAATAATAATCCTTTTTAGATTTAATGTACAATTCATAAAGTTTATTCTTTTTAGCAATAGAAACTCTTATACCATTTGTAATCCAAGGTTTGGCTAATATCCGAATTTCTTTCTTTGACAATTTATGCAGAGGTGCATGCCTATTAACAATATCGGATAATTTATTATGAAATGATTCGAATGTAAGATTCACATCTTCAGTTTCAGGCAGAACATCATCCCAATTAACCTGCCGTACTTCCTCCAAAAGCATTTCTTCGTTAAAATTAGAATGATCTCTTCGATAAAGCGTGGGATTAGAGGAAGTACAGGTAAACTTATTAAGTGTTAGAAAATTAGGAAAATGGTCAGTTATATCACAAATTGTTTTCGCTTCGTTTTCTAAAAATTGTCGTTCATACATTTGTATGTTATTAGTGTCTCTCTGTATTTTAAGTGTTCCTCTACAGGAAGCCAGCGAATTGCCCGTAGTGCTGGTGTTAAATGATCATATCTTCCCGTATTTGTCAATATCCTACAAGCAAAATTCTGTACTGCTCTCAATTTCTTTATATTTGTTGCAGAAGTGTTTGACCAAACTGTAGAGCAATAATAAAGTTTGCTCATTACTAAAGCATTAATAATTAAGCGAAGACTATCCCTTTCAAAGCTATCCTCTACTCTGTTTATCTGACACAGCTTGGCCATACAAGATAATACAACATTTATGATATGGTAATCGTATGTCAGATAACTGTCTAGGGTTAATCCCAGGACTTTGGCATTTGTGGTTGGTGTAATCTCTTCTCCAGGGAATGTAATTTTCGTCTCCTCAAGTAGCTTACCGTCAAATAACTGTCTAGGGTTAATCCCAAGACTTTGGCATTTGTGGTTGGTGTAATCTCTTCTCCAGGGAATGTAATTTTCGTCTCCTCAAGTAGCTTACCGAGCAGTTGACGAGTTCCTATCAAGAGTAACTTTGTCTTCTCGGGGTTTATCAACAATTTATTTTCGAGAAACCATGCTGCGACCAATTTGAGGTCCGCTTCTATCTTTGTTTTTGCACTGGCAATATCTTCAATTGGAAATTACATAAAGATCTTAGAATCGTCGACGAATTATTCCAACTCAGATGCTTGTGGTACTCTTAAGAGGTCATTTATATAGATGTAGAACAATAGTGGTGACAATATTGCTCCCTGAGGCACTCCGTGGGTAATTGGTAAAACTTCGGATACCGAGGAGCCAATGCGAACGAAGTGCTTTCTATCTGTAATGTAGCTTTCAAACCAGTTAAGGGCTTCACCTGAAACTCCAATATTGCTTAGTTTCTTTAACAGGATTGAATGCTACACGCTGTCAAACGCTTTTGAGAGGTCCAGAAGGACTAGAGCAGTAAGATTTTTATTGTGGGACACTTTGTCAAATGCCCTTGACAAGTCTAATTATATAGCATCAACCTCTTTCCCCTGCGCTAAGTTGGAAAGAATATGATGATAGACCTGTAACAATTGTGTCTCGGTAGATCGTCCTCTCTGAAAACCATACTGCATATTGGACAGATTCTCCGAAAGGTGGGGCAAACAGTGGTTTAATATGCAACGTTCAAACACTTTGGACAAAACACAAAGGAGAGAAATTGGTCTATAGCTATCGGGCAACGTTAGATCATCTTTTTTGTGTACAGGGGTTATATTTGCCTCTTTCCAATCCTTGGGCACTGTGACAAGCACAAGTGACATGTTGAATAAACGACATAGGCTTGGTGATATTGCTGCTGCAGTGCATTTAAGTAGCCTCGAAGGAATACCGTTCTGTCCACTAGCTTTATTTGGTTCTAGATTCGAAAGTAGTTCACACACTTCAGTAACACTTATTTCAATATCACATAACATTAAGTTTGCGCGTGTGATCCTTCTTTTTCAGTCAAATGAGCTGCTTGGTCTTACGTCGAATTTCCTTAACCTTAAGCATATCGCTAGGATTTCTTGTTTTAAGTGCTTTCTTCTGACACCGATTTTTATGTTTAATAGCTTTTAATAATTCATCATCAAGCCACGGGTGGTCACCGGTATTCTTAACATGCCTCTTGGGCACATGATCGGATACCGTTGATAAAAACAAGTCACACCAATTTGCTAATGGTGCATCAATGTCATTGTATACAAATGCCATATCCCATGGGACATTCATCAAGGATTCATTCAAAGCGTTCCAGTTGACTGACTTATAGTTGTAAACATAACGCTTCGTGGCAGGTATCTTTCGTATATTAAAGTCCAGAGTAAAACTTATTAGCTTATGTTCCGTGTTAATTATATCCTCAAATCCATGAATGTCTACAACTTTATCAGGTATATTTGTAAGAATTAAGTCCAAAGCAAGTATGATCAATTCCAGTGGGAAAATCCACAAGCTGCCACAGATAGTTATCATGCACGAGTTTAGTAAAGTACGTCGAAATACAGTCATTGGTTATGGATACACCAGTTTGCCAATTTATGTTTGGTAGATTGAAATCCTCACAAATAAACAGTTGATAAAAGCCAGATTTATTAGCCAAAATTAATGTTTTTTTAAGTTCCTTCAAATTGTCCAGGTTTGAGTCTGGTGGTCGATAAAATACGACAACAAGCACTTTGCGTCTTGAACCTGGTCTAATCTCGCATGCCAATAACTCAACTTTACACTCAAGGTCGTGTCGTCTAATCGAAATAATGTTATTGCGTACAGCTAGCATAACCCCTCCACCGGCTCGAAGGGTTCGGTCCCGTCTATGAATGGTGAACTCTAAATTTGACAAAAGTTCTCTATCTAGTATGCATGGTTTCAGCCAGGTTTCTGTCACAGCGACAATGTCCACATCGCAAGCAAGCGATTGAAGTTTGTCTGTCTTGTGTACTAAACTTCTGGCGTTAAGATATAAACCACGAATAGAGCGTTTGTCAGAGTCCATACCTGGTCAAGGGTTTGGATGTATGTTGATAAGAATTTTGTTTAACGAGAGACATGCTACATGATTACTATAGTAGGCAATTCGTCGTTCAAAAAAGTAAGATCTTCGACGGCTGACACCAATATTGCTGAATTTCATCGTTTGCATTATAGTAAACGGTTCCAAACATGCATCATCATTCGCCGGAGATGAGATAAAATATTAGCGAAAAGGCTATTAGAAAATAGACCAGCAAAAATAGCAGTAGAAATGAGCAAAAGTAACAAAGCATGAGTGGCTATGTTAGCCGCCATCTTGACTCCTAATAAACAATGTACGAACAGGTAGGCAATTTGTCTGAGCATGCGCGCAGAAAATCAATATGGCGACATATATCAGCTGGAGTGTTTCGAGGATTTATCTGGTTTTAAAGCTGATAAAACAACATTTTAATGAACGAAAACTTTGTAATATTTCGTGGAAAACATTAAGCTGTGCATTCCAAAGGTTTTAAATAAAAAATAAGTACTTTTGCTTTATTTTATTGCTTTTTATGCTTTGAAAACAGGCAAGCTCATATTTTTCGAAAACATTTTATCTAATATTTTACCATTATTTGTTTAATCTGAACAAAAATAGATAGAACACTTGGCTATATAAGTTATAAAGGTATTGTTAGCTGATCTGAAAGATTTCAGTATTCCAGGTACACATTTTAACAAAGAATAAAATTAAAATATATGCATATCAAAAACAATGGTTTTTATTAGAACAACACAGAATAAGTTGTTATTTTCTATTTTTACAAAAAAAAGTTTGAAAACAGGATCTAGTCCTCCAGCTTGATGTCATATTCCATTTATTTTGATATTTGAATAAAGGAATGTGAAATAATAATTGAAACTTGTCCAAAATTTGATACCCAAACTGGAATGAACAGATACTATCACCTAAAAATAAAAGAAAACAGAACTTAAATTTATCATATAATGCTATAAAAAAATCTTAGATACTACAAGCATAAAGTGAACACAACTCTTTAACAAATTCACTAAAATAAGATAAGTTAATAAAATATGCTACGATAAGAGGATGGCAATATATGACAGCATTTTTCGTGGTCGCATAACTGGCATTGCCACAAACCCAGGTGAAAAAGCAATTAGAAAAACCTGGTTTTGGGTGATGAGCATAGTCAAATTCTTGACTTATTCAATTTTCTAAGTTTGTCCAGATAAATATGTTCAACATTGAAATAAGCCCCATTCGGGACCTCGTAGGGTCCAAAATATTGTGTATGGACCAGATTTGTTTCAGTTTTCTGTGATTTACATAACACTAGTTATAATTTAAGGGTCAACCAGTATTGTTCAAGACATATTTTCCTTCCAGAACACCTTTTCAAAATACTAACCCAAGCATGTCAAAAATAGTGTACATTTACAAGGGCAATTTCAACCCTTTGGCACATTTTTCCCATGAATGATTTTAATTCTAATATAAAGACTATAGATAAAACTTTGATTTAAAGCTAGTTTCAAGTGATGAGCATACCCTAAATTTTAAGCTATACCTCAAAGAAGATAGGTCATTTCAACATAAACATTGAAATATGGGTATACTGACAGCTCTGTCACACGTGTAATTTGACATTAGCAAACCTTCTGAAACATTTTAATGAAAGTATAATTCACAAAGTTCACATTTTCACTTACTTCTTAACATCTGTTTTAATCCAACTAGCTCTGTAGGCACCAGCAAAATTTAGTGTTGATGTAAATATCCATTTTGTTCATGTTTCCCCGGTGAAAATATAGTCTATTCCAAAGCTGATTTCGACGTACTTTAGCTTTTCAGAAACCGTTGGCCTTCCTCAGTGAGATTATTAACTGTTTCACAAACATATTTGATAGTAAACAGCTAAAATATTCTCCGAAAGTCTATATTTTTGCTCTTCGACGCGAAAATGGAAACTCAAAGAAGAAATGAGCCGCTATTTTTGGTCAGCGTCGACAAATTGCCTACCTGTTACGTTTTATACAGCCTAGTCCCAGGCTCTCTCTCTATTCGCTGCTTTGATATATTTAAATAAGTCTTAAAAGTTTTATGCCTGGGTGTGCTGTGCGGAACGCTTCAGCGAGAGAGCCTAGCAGATTTCGGTAAAATGGTCCCTGATTTAAAAAAAGTGGTCCCTGGCCTGGTTACCAAGCATACCTCATTTGTAAATGGGAAATGTTATGGAAATTTCCTTTGAATTTATAATTAAGTCATTAGTTTTGCTCTAATGCTGTCGGAACAATGAAATAGGCTTACGTTTCGCTGCCATACGATCAGAATGGAATAACGGGCTAAACATGACTCGTGCTTACTAAAATATATAGCCATATTAAATGCTATCTAGAAGCTTGAAAATTATGCCGAGTCTCCGACTAAAAATGTTGTGACAACACCGTTATGTTAGGCAAATATTTCCAATCTCCTCAGCAATTTAAACCTGTCTAGTAGAAGGCGTAGTTGTGTATACCAGTATGGTCTAGTGTTGATCACAACTTGCGAGTATATAAATAACATCAACGATTGCTCAAACTCAGTATCGTAAATTTGTATATAAATTTTTTTAGTTGAGCACATTTTAATACAGTTTGATTTGGTTATGTAGACATCGAACATGTACATGATGAACGAACATTGCCGTATTTATAATTAAAAGGTTACTTGTATATTTTAATATTCCGCCATATTAAATAAAAATACTGAAATCTGCTAGGCGTTCTGAAGCACCTTGAGCGGTGACGTCACACCTAGGTCCCAGTCTCGTACTACATCCACTTTTTTCTCGCGCTTGCTTCAGAACGACTGGGACTAGGCTGCGTTTTATACACTGTACGGCTCTCTCATCCGCAGAGCCTCCTTAAGTATTCACAAATAACTTACATGAAGTTTCCTGAATAAAAGTGAGCGCGCGCGGTGTGATGGGAAGATTGAAATAAAGTTGGGGAGGTTCTGCCAGATAATGCGACGAAGTATGGTTTTTGAACCAAACTAGCTGTTTGACCTTTTTTTAAACTTGAAATCGACGGAAGTGTGAAAGAAATTGAAATGAATCTTCATAATCTGAGTATCGAAGTTCAATAGAGTCATTTTTATAAAGAAATGTTGCAATTAAGAGGATATTTATAATTAGATAGCTCGTATACATTGATATTCGTTTGCAATTTCTCAATATTTTTCTATCCGAATGGATGGAAGATGATATTGATATTTAATTCACCTCAGAATACTCAAGTACGACTGAAAATGAAAGTCGAAAACATATTTTAACACCCTCGATGGTTGATCGAACTTCGCTACAAACGATTATATACGACGCCATATTGATTGCATTAACTCGCAGAGGTTTCTTTTATTTAGCTCTTCCCATCACTCCTTGCGCGCTCACTTTTCCCTCACTAGAAACTTCATGTAAGCCTCTGCGGAGGAGAGAGCACTGTACGGCTAATAATATATGTATCCGTTCTATTTAATAATCGTATTTGTGTTTGTATATTTTACAAACACAAGGCTGCTTCTTGCCAAAATTAAGAAAATATATATTAATGTAGTTGTGTATAAGACAATATTTTATGAAAGATTCTATTTTTAGAATATATTTTTGACTCATTTTGAGCTTTCGCTACACTTTGTCAACATAATAATAGTGTTGCTTCAAACTTTATGATGAAAATCCTGATTTTTATGCGTGTATACAAATAAAAATAGTAAGTTTATACTATAAATGAGTTTATTTTACCTGTGTCGGTTTAAATTCGCTGTTAAGTTTCAAATAATTCTGTTTGAGAACGCAATAATTGGGTATATCCAAGTGAGGCAAATTCGGGGCAGTTTTTGGCACTCGGATTGGCAAATCTGCTAGGCCTTCTATTTTTTCGCTTGCGTCCGTCTCCTTCCCGCCCCCAAATCACCTAGTCCTAGTCTTTTCATGTGAAAAACTGCTCAATATTAAAAAAATAAAAATAGAAGGCCTAGGTCTAGGCTGATCAAGCAAGTAGTTTTCTTCAATCTCAGGGCCATCTCAATATCAGAAGTATCTGCAATAAAGTAGATTCATTAATGCTTCTACTTAATAAAAAATAGCCCGCGTGCAGGCCCAAGGGAACTGATAGTGGGCCTGCAAGCAAGGCCCAGTATTTTGTAAAACGCCCCTTTTCATAACACGCCCCATTCGCGCGTCAATTGTTAAAAAAGAACCAATGACAGCACCCAAATATTGACAAACAAACTCGCATTAAAATGTTGCGGGATTTTCTCTGCTTATTCAGAACATAAACAATGTGTAAATGGCTGCGTTTTAACTCCAAAAAAGCAAGCAACGCAGTCAGTAATTTGCAAATTTGCAAGTGCTCATTTTCAACTAAAATCGTAACAGAAAACCAGTCTCAAACTTCAAATCGTGAGGGTGCGACTACATTAGCATCCGCTGTCGCTATTGTTATAAATAAATTGTCTCCGTATCAGATCGTGTGTGCAATTCTTGTTGGCGGCGGAAAGTACGAAATTTATTTCAGTTATTTCATTTGGTAAAGAACTCTACAAAAGAAGAGAGCGTTCAGAGTCCAGATCGTTTCGTTTCAAACGGCAATTTAATGCCGTCTTCTGTTTCGCTCTCTCAGCGAAGCCGTTGTAAATCGCAAAGTGTTTCGAATAGGCTTACATGCAACTGCATCTCAACATCAACCAAAAGATCATTTTCTTGAGGAACATATAACGTATCAACTCTGTTTGAAATTAATGAAACTCAAGTGTAAAGGTTACTATAGTTTACCCCAGTCGTAATGTTGCTATTCCAACACCTCACGACAAGCAATCCCCATTGGCATAACGGCAAAAACATCTCTTCCTTCAAGTAAACAATAAACAGTCTGTTCTTGTTCCATTTGTAATCGAAAAAAGTGATCAATTTTCGAATTTTAAGCTTATCGAGAGAATATCGAGAGCCTTTGTGATGAATCACTGACCTAATTATAGAATCCAACAGCAAACAGCCAATCAGAATGCCGCGTTCGTGGGCGAACGCGGAAAGTACAAAATACCGGGCCTTGCTTGCAGGCCCACTATCAAGTTCCCTTGAGCCTGCTCCCTTGGGCCTGCACGCGGGCTAAATGAAAAACCACTTGATATTTTTACGATCTCTGAATACGTAACGACATAGTTCATTGTGACGCTACTTACACACACGTATAAGCGCGTGTAAGTGATATGAAATGATACTGTGATGACGTCATGGGTGGTGTTTAGTGCACCACTCGCACCACCCAAAGTAGAACCCCTCTTCCCTATACTACTGCAATATGATGTACGTGATGGTCCGTTATTGAAAATGTGCGTGGCATACTGATA